TCTCTCTCTCTCTCTCTCTCTCTCTCTCTCTCTCTCTCTCTCCCTTCCTCCCTCCCTCCCTCCGGTGCGACTTTCCTCCTTCTGTGTATTTCATTTTTTTTTTTCGTTTGTGTATTTCTTTTTTTTTCTCCTTTTCTCTTTTATTGTTTTTCGGTAGTAGTAGTGTCATCCCTACAGAACCGGGGCCCGGCCTTAGCGCTACGACCGGGCCTTTCCGTGGCAGACCACCCTAAGGCCGCGGCGCGTATACGGAAGGCCCGCGGCTGATAGCTGAGCGAGGTACTGGTGGTTTAAAAAAAAAAATATAAAAAAATCATCAAACAATTGCAACTACAAAAAAGAGAAAAAAATAAAAAAGAAGAAGAAAAAAAAGAAAATAAAAAATATCCTGCATATCATTCCTCAGAGTCTCTTATTGTGCCAAAATTGCATAAGCATTTTACCAATCTCCACTGCACTTCCCCCTGGGGCCAAGTCCCACTAGCAGGGTTGAGCTACCGCAACGCGTGAATCTGGACGTGTTTATGGAGTCGTGCAGTTCAGGAAACTCGACACCATTTCTGCACATCTCCACAAAATGTCCAGATTCAGGCGCTGCTAGTGGAACTTGGCCCCTGATGCAGCTGGTCTTCTACAATTAGGAGTACTAATGGTAGGTAGGTAGTGTGAGGTGAAATTGAGAGAAGAACATAGCTTTAAGAAAAAAAACAAATTAGGGCTACTTGAATTATGGCTTCGAGAGGGGGATCCGCGCTGCATGGCCCCATGTCCAGATTACACTATGGGAGGGGATTCTTGATGGGAAACCTACGGAGAGGATACTTTGGAGGGACTGCCTCCATGACGAGGAGCAGGGGACCTCTTACAATCAATGAGCTCTCACAAGAAAGTTGGGCTGTGGGTCATCCGTTATGGGGTGGGGCACAGAGGGGAAGCAATTAAGGTAGTGTAATAGTCAATCTTTCAGTGGGGGGTCAATTACGGTCGCCGCCCCTCTGTACAACCCGGCCCTAACTCATAGGGACTAGGGGTTTTCGGTGGCGGGGGGACCGGTGGCTTAAACCACCAGTACCTGGCCCATACATCGGCCGGGGGGCTTTCCCGTATACGCGCCGCACTTTGTGGGGTTCGGGGGAGGGTCGGAGTCGCAATGGGGGAGGAAGGTAGTGGGCCCAAGGAAAGCTGCCCTATGGACTGCAATATGTCCCCTTGGATTTCCGTGCATGTGGAAACATGCACGGACGCTCTGTGCAATGAGCAGTGCCTAGAAGGTGAAAAGAAAATGAAAAGTAAGTATCCGGACGCATTTTTGGCCTGAAGCAATGACGTGAGCAGTGCTTTGTTTTTTGGGAAGCAGCTACTCGGCTGTTTCTGCTGCTTCAGCTCCCCGTGGGAGACGGGGAGCACTCAATACCTGCCAAGATTTCAAATCGAGGTCTGCACAGTCACATACCACTTTCCAGAATGTATCTGGCTGCACTTGGATGCAGCTCTGGATGAATCTGAGCCCAATCACGTTCAGGGCTTGGTTTCTCTTTTCCCTTTTTTTTTTTCTTTTTTTTTTTGTGAAGTAGTAGCTCGTCTGTTTCTGCTGCTTCAGCTCCCCGTGGAAGGCGGGGAGCACTGAATAGTCCTCGCTCCACTACACAACATTGTACATGCATTTGGTCGCTTATACGACCAGGTGCATTCGGGCGATTCCAACGTTGTGAATGTATCAGGTCAATAAAGCGTCCAAATGCATGTACAGCGTTGTGTAGTGCAGCGACGCCCTACCTGCCAAGCTTTTTTTTTTTTTTTTAAAGGTAAGCTATATTCTTCTCTCATCTATCTCATTTTTCTTGACAGTACGCATCTATCTCATCCTCTCACTATTCTATATATAGTATGGGGGAACACCAACCAACCCGGATCCCTCCGCAGCCCACAGGGTAGGTTGGCACCACAGTTGTGGTGCGAGGGCAAGGCTGTACCAGTCCCTCATCACGGTGACAAGGGGTGGCCAGGCATTGCCGATGGGGGAAATCGGCGGGGCTAGCGCCGAGCAATGGCCAGTCACTGCACCTCCCCCTACCCCCCCCCAACCCCACATGGCGGTGTCTAATGGTCAATATTATCGCTGCATAGCAGCCAACAACATCAGCCAAGGTCCTGCCAATGCTGGTTTGGGGGGCCGACGGGTTATCTCTAGCTGGTAGAACACCAAGCTTGCCCAGGCACATCGTGAGGCCAATGGGGATTGAACGCACGACCTCCTGAATGCAACTTCTGTGCCTTACCAACTGAGCTAGGCCCGCAGGCCACCTGCCAAGCTTTCAAATCAAGGTCTGTATAGTCACGTACCACTTTCCAGAATGTATCTAGTTGCAATTCGATGCAGCTCTGGATGAATCTGAGCCCAATCACGTTCAGGGCTTGGTTTCTCTTTTCCTTTTTCTTTTTTTTTTCTTTTTTTGGGGGGGGGGAAGTAGTAGCTTGTCTGTTTCTGCTGCTTCAGCTCCCCGTGGGAGACGGGGAGCACCTGCCAAGATTTCAAATAGAGGTTTGCACTTCTCCCCAGGCCATATTCATGTACACGAGTAGAAACAAGGAAACGATCCCCTCTTTACATTCCAGCTGCTGGCAGCAGGTCCAGAATAAGGGCCGGTACCTGTGCCAAGCAACAAATGTCCCATGTTGGTTCCCGCCCCCCATAGGCTCGACAAAAATCGGCGCGCAGGGCATATTCAGGCTCGGCTTCAATAGCTGGGCGAGGTACGGGTGGTTTAATCCCCTCCTTGTGAGGGCAGTCAATGCTGGCCCCATTTGAGTAGGCATAACCTGGTTCTCTCATTTTCTGAAAACTCTGTACCCTAAAGATGTTGTCAAACAGATGCTGGACCCCGTTTCCAGCAGGTGTTGCTCCCCACCAATAGATTGGAGCCATCAACTCTGTGAGAACTGCTACGGAGAGGTCCCACTAGCGAACAGGATCGGATCAAATACCTGAATCTGGACGAGTTTATGGAGATGTGCAGGATCCAGAGATTAAACTGCTTTTCTGCATTTGTGCTTAAAAGACATCCAGATTCAGGAGCTTCATCCTATCCTTTTTGCTAGTGGGACCTCGGCCCTAGTGGAGGTTGCTCTTACCAACTCTTCTAGTAGGGGCTCTCGCGATTAATGATGTTTTCTCTTAAAAAAAAAAAAAAAAAAAAAAAAAAAACTCGACAACGTCCCTCTCGACAGTTTCCCGAGCAACTTTTCCCCCCGTCCGCTGCACAGCACTGTCCAAGTGAAGAACTCACAAATTGAAGTGCAAAAGTGACACTCGTGTATAGGACAAGCATTCTTCCTTTTTTTTTTTTTTTTTTTTTTTTTTTTTTTTTTTTGTGGAAAGCATGCATGTGTATTGCAAAAACAAACAATGGGACAAGGCCGGGGACCTCACAATTCAACCCGGAGTTATCCTGGCAGCCTCAGCCAGTTTTGCTTACGAGCAATGCTCAAGTCTCCAAATAACTGCTCCACATAACTCCACAAACCTAGCTAGAAACCGGGTTCAGCGTCCCATGCCAACATCTATCCAATACTTTCCAACTTAATCCTTGAAGCGCAAGTAAAATCTATCAAATGGATTCAGAATTTCCCATGAAGAACAATATGGACAAGGACTCGCCAAGTGGGGGCGCAGCGCTACCGGGAGCGCTGCGCCCCAGCAGCATCAATCATCAATCAAGGTTATTGCCACGGAGAGGAGCCGCGCGCGCTGGAAAACTGCACGCAGCAAGGAAAATAGCGCGCGCGCGCTCGATGATTGCGTGCGATTGGGAGTGCGTCCTGAGCTGTAAATTGGACCACCGGTGGTCTATGTCGAGGAGCTGAGGTGGTCCAAATTTCAGATCAAATGGTCTAGTGGATCATGAGATATCAAAGATTTAAGGCACGCCATGAAATTCGAGTGTGTCGGGCGATGCTGGGCGAAGCTGTGAGATGATTGAGGGGGTGAATACTTCACCTCTCTATCTCCTAACATTTGAAAGCATTCGTAGTGCCATCTCGCCGTCTTGTGCCTATCACGAGGAATGCTATGGGCTAGCATGCCGTGTAAGGGTGAGTAAGTTTTTCTTACGAGGCTTGCTTCAGGAAGAATCATTGGTGCTCTTCATCTTGCATATTTTGGTGGAGGATCTCGGCTCACAGCAAGAGGGAGGAGAGTACAGTGTGTCCCATGAGATGGGAGGACGAATGGAGGGAAATAAGGAGGGAAGTGATGTTCAGGTTCTCAGCTCGTATCCAGTGCAGTTTTTTTTTAAGAAATGTTCTGCGTCATCTTATCGGGACAACATCAGTTAGTAAGCGGGCTTCTTCATCAGCATGTTCGTCAGCGACAACTTTATCATCAGCTCGTAAGAGGGCATCTTCATCATCAGCTTCGGTTTTATCATTGTCATCATCATCATCATCATCATCATCATCATCATCATCATCATCATCATCATCGGCGGTTGTTATTATCATCGTTAGCATCATCATCATCATCATCATCATCTCATCATCATCATTATCATTATCATCATCAGCATCATCGTCATTATCATCATCATTAGCATCATCATCATCATCATCAGCAGCAGCAGCATTACTGACATCATCATCATCTTTATGAGCATCTTCATTGGTGCGTCATCATCATCATCATCATNGCAGCATTACTGACATCATCATCATCTTTATGAGCATCTTCATTGGTGCGTCATCATCATCATCATCATCATTATCATCATCATCATCATCATCATCATCATCATCATCATCATCATCATCATCATCATCATTATGAACATCATCATCATTGGTGTGTCGTCGTCATCGTCATCATCATCATCATCATCAACATAAGCATCATCATTATCGTCATCATATACTCATCATTATGATGATGAGTATTATCATTATTATTAGTTTGTTATTATTAGATGTTGTTCTTCAAGGCATCATTCGCCTTTCGCATCAGCAGGTAAGAGGGTCGTCATTATCTTCCTCATTATCTTTATCTTCGGCGTGTTGTTCTTCGTCATCAACAAAATCCAAGCGAATCACATTTTTGTGAGAGGGAGGGGGAGAGCTCAGCTCTGCAGGGGTTTCATTAGGTGGGTGGTGAAACCCTGGAGGGGGCATGGGCAGATTGTGAGGATTACTCTTTTTTGGGGCTGGGCATCAAATTCCAGCGGGGCATATTAGGGTAAAGGAATAGACAGGGGAGTGGAGAGAATGGAGGAAGGAAGGAAGAGTAGGGATTTTGTATGAATCATCTCATCAACAAAATCATCATCATCATCATCATCATCATCATCATCATCATCATCATCATCATTCATGTTATATCATGCTTTATGGTGTGTTGTAATTCTCGGCGGTATCTGGCCTCCTTCCTTAATCGGGATAATGAGATTTTAGAGATGATTGAATCTGGACCGATATCTACAGACTACAGAATTGTTTTGTCTTTGCCCCTGGTTTGGCGATGTGAGAACGACGCTGGCCGGTGCTGGGGCAGTGCCTTGTAACCTGCAATTTGACAGGAGTGTGAGGCCTTGTAGAGAGATCTGGTGATTTGCTGACAGAGGAAGGCAATCCAGTGGCGAACCGGGGGGGCTGCCTTGACAACCTATGGGGCTAGGGATAGTCTAGGTGGCGAGAGCAGGTCAGCTATGGTAGACATTGGTAAGGAGGGTGTTGTCTCTGAGATGTAATGTCCTCGTGCAGGGAGGGCTGGGAAGGTTCGAGAATTAGGAGGCTAGAATTGCTGTTATAACATAGTCTTTTATATTTTTTATACTTTCGATTTACTAATCATCGTACTCATCATTATCATAATCATCATCATCATCATCATCGCATCATTTGATTCATTAGTATCAATATCTACTAAGTTGCTCTGTTATGTGCCTTGGTTTGCCGATGTCAGAACAACGCTGGCCGGAGCTGGGGCGTTGCTCTGTAACCTGCGAATGGCAGGAGTGTGAGGCCTTCTAGAGAGATCTAGGGTTTGCTGAGGGTGGAAGGCATTCCAGTGGTGAACCGGGGGAGGCTGCAAGGTGGCGAGAAGAGATCAGCTAAGGTTGACGTTGGGTAGGTTAGTTTTGTCTCTGAGGTACAATGTTCTGGTGCAGGGAGGGCTAGGAGTTGTTCTAGGATTAGGAGGCCAGAATAGCTGATATAGCATAATCTTTTATATTTTTTCATATATTTGAATCTAGCATCATTATCTGTGGTATCATATGTATCATCGGGGTCATCATCATAACTATTTGAGGGACGCTGAGCCCGGTTCTCAACAGTTTTCGGTTTGATCACTCGGGGTAGATTGTGAGGACCCCGACCTCAATCTGATTATTGGTAAAAAAAAAAAAAAAAAAAAAAAAAAAGGACAAGTACTGAGCTAGAACTACACTTAGTCTAATATATCTTTCAGCCACGTACAGAACAAGAAGTGGCCCTCTGGGTTGAGCGTGGCCAAACCTTTATTACAGGCCCAAGTTTTGGCAAGCTAAATTACATTCTTCCTTCGCCAATCCGCCTGGATGATTCTTCTCAACCTCTGTTTGACCTGGCTGCATTGGTGCCAACTCGTTGTATTCTCACCTCTGAACAGGCGTGCGTTTCTTGCTGCCCAGATCACTTCCATTAATACACCTCTGCAGCAGAGAGCAACATAGCCCCATCGTGACGAATAGATCACACCTGGAGGAAGGATACCTGTCAGCATCCAGGAATCTGTCCATTCTAGGGCTCCTCCCGTTATAGCATTCCAGTGGTGCTTCCACCAAATCAGAAGGACATCTACAAGTGGGCAACAAAGCCAAAGGTGATGCATGTTTTCCCATACCCAATTACACCTCATACAACGAGTATCTATTTCCAACCCTCTTGACGACAGCCACGTTGCCGTTGTTGTTACCATCAGGGATTGGAGCCACATCATACTGGCCTGCTTCTGAACTGGGTAATTGATAAGGGCTTTCCACAGGTTGCCCAGGCTACGATGTGTTACTTCCGTTAGTTGGTGGAATTCCGCTCTTCTTGTGATCAATTCCAGCAGGGACTTATGAAGCTGCCTTTGTAGCATTTGAACCCCTATTTTTGGTCGGTAGTGAATCAGTGGTAGAACCTTTCCTGGTCTTCCCAGACCTGTAGCAGCGGTTCCACCTCAAAACTGGTTGCTAGGCCCAACAACACTGTTTGGGGCTGCCTTCTGTTATGTTCAGCCTCGGAGACCCTTACCTCCACCATTTCGTCGGTGGACTCAACCCTGTAATTATCGTCTTCCAATACCAGTTTGCCCGTTGTGCCGATTCTGTTGGTGAACTTCCACCTCTGCGCTCTCAGTCCCGATGCTAAGTCGGGTCCCAAAACCTTAAGGACTTGGTTATGACTTCCATCCCTAATGAGTCAGGTGCCTACTGCATGCTCAGCCTCTGGTTGAAGAAGGTTCACCCAGGTCATCGGAATGGCATCCTTCAAGGCTGCATAGTGCTCTTGGACTCTATGGAGTCTCGGAAGGTGCCTTCTAAGTTTGGAGAGATCCAGGAATGTTGCTCGCTCTTAATCCCAAATATCCTTGAATTGTAATACGTTTTTCTTGATCCATCTCAACCCGAAATTACCTGTCATCTCAACTGCAGAAAAGGGGCCACCAGCTTGCTGGACAATGAACTTGTTTTCAAAAAGTACTTGGTTGATGACTTTTAGCTTCGTCGTTGGTTCTTGGCACTTCGGAGGCCGTAGCTTACTCCAGGCACCAAGAATAATCCTCCAAGTTGTTGATTGGGGCCTGCGATTGCAGAAGGATGGAATAGTTAAGCAAATCCATATCTTGGAGTGGTCCTGCAAGTCCCACTCCAGCCCTAGTATATGTTCCGCCAACGCCTTCCAATTCATCTCGTCTGGAGTCGTCATGGCCCTAACTAGCCATTTAGCTAGGAGGGCGGTATTCTGCTGGTCTAGGAAGGGATCCACGATTCCCAGTCCCCCTTTCTCTCTTGAGATGGTCACCACCTCCCAGGCCACTTTCAATAAAAAACCTTGCTCAGCTGTGGCGTCCGGCTTCCACAAATATCTTGATGTTGCCTTCTTTACTCTCTTGTATGATGAGTCCCCCAATCTACGGATGGATAGAGGGAACCATAGCAAGGAGAACGCTGCTGAGGAAATCACCAAAACTCTCCCAAAGAGTGATAGCTTCGTCCTCCGTTCCCAACCTGCAATACGTGCGAGTACCTTGTCCGCTAGCAGGTTATCCTGTACTTTTTCACAATTTGATAAAGAGACTTGCAAACCCAAAAATATGTCTGAGGAGTTGGCCGGAACCCGCCGCAGTCCCCAATCCACACAAATCTCAAACAAAGGGGAAAGAAATATAATGATTTATCCCAGTTGATTGAGGCTTCTGACAAAACACAATACTCATATAGGCCACTACGTAGTTCTAGTAACGAACTAGGGGAGTTGTCACATGCCACTGTCAGATCATCTGCGATTGCTCCTCCTTTTCAATGAAAGGCTTGGGAAAGTCGCAGACCCTCTATCAAGGGTTTATGTCTGATATTGGCCACTAACACTTCCAATTGTAAGACAAAGATAAAAGGGGTCAATGAGCATCCTTGTTGCAGCGATCGGGACAAGGGGAACGTTTCAGATTGAAGCCCATTTACCAGTACCGTCGTTGTTGCTCTTGAATACATTGCTTTGACCCATGTTCTGAACCGGTCCCCAAACCCCAAACGTATAAGGGAGGTGTTTACAAAAGCCCAACCTACTTTGTCATAGGTTTTTTTCATATCAAGCATCAAAATGGCTACATCCCTTTTTTCCTTCGCTATTACTTTCAGGGCTTGGATGGTCAAAAGAATATTGTCAAAGTTGGACCGTCCCTTGACAAAGGCTCCCTGTTCTCTCCCCACCACCTCCGGGAGAATGTCGGACAGCCTTAGGGCCAAAACATTTGCCAATAGTTTATATGAGACGTTCAAGACCGAAATAGGTCTCCAATTACGTATTTCACGCTTGTCCTTCTTTTTGTATAACAATGAGATCATCCCATAGACCATCCCTTGTGGAAGGGTACCCGTGCGGAGGGCTTCGTTAAATATATCACAGAAAAATTTGGCAAAATAATCCCACGAAGAAAAAAAAACTCTATGGGCAAGCCATCTGGCCCGGGGCATTTTCCTTTGGCCATCCGGTGAGCCTCCCGGGTGACCTCATCTACACTGATAGGGTCTTCAAGGGATTGGCTTGCTACGTGGGATATAGGCCTCAGAGGGCAGTCCCAGAAGGAGTGAGAATTTACCAAATTGGTATCAAAGGTATCAAAGGATCTCCTAGTGGCTACTATATCTCTAAAATACTCCATAGCATATGCACACATCTCTACTTTGCGGGTGGCTGGGACGGCATTCAAGGCAAAAGGGTGGGAAAGTTTATTTATCGTTGGTCTCGATCTGCTCAATAATTAGGACTTAAACGTATCTTTTGTCATTCTGACCAGACCCACCATTCCCTTAACTTTTAGCCATTCCTGCCACACTGTGTGCTTCTGGATTTCTAGAGCCTCAAGCTTTTTGAGAGTTTTTGCTTTCTTCTCAGACCAGTAATA